AATCTAGCAGGTTCTGACAGGTTCTGGAAAATCGGTAGCAGAAATTTTGAGCAGTTCGGAAAACCAGTAGCAAAAATTTTGAGTAGTTTGGAGAACCGGCAAATATCACCTCTGGCCCCAGAGTGGGGTGGGAATGGAGATTTTGCAGTATCCTTCTGTTGGCGTGGGGTGGGAATGGTATCCTTCCCCTCCATGCCCATCAAGCCACGCCCACCAAGCCACACCCACAGAATCAGTAGTAAAAAAAAAATTGGATTTCACCACTGAACAGGTAATCCTCTATCATCAATCTTACACCATTAAAATAGCAATATATCTCCCTTGGTAGGAAAGAAGATATAGCCAGAAAAATTATAATTTCTTTTGTTTAGGCCCTTTCCTAAATTTGCCTGAATTAATTTCTTGACAGGCCATGGACTGCATGCTTCTGTATCTAATAGCAATTAAAATTCGTGAAAATCTGTTGAATACAGCAACCTAACTTTTTGAAATACACTTTCATATAGCAAACCTACTTCCATGTCTAATAACAAAGGAGTTTAAGTGTGCTGAAAACCACTGGGACCACCATGTCCAGTTTATGCCCGTAATCTTTCGATTTTGATTTTCAGATGTTGATACTTATGATCTTCTCCAATTCTTTGCCTTTTATTCTACTGTCTCCTGATATATTGCCATATCAAATTGTCACCATTTCTTCTTTTTCAACCACAGTTATATCTGGGGTGTTATGGGCCAATACTTTATCAATCTGACAATAAAGTGAGATGCTTATTATAGAAAGGGGACATAACTTCTATAGACTTATTAAACTGATAGATATATCAGTAGAATGTGTCATCAATGCATTAACAAGCTTCTCTTTATAACATTCTGTTCTATACATAGTAAGATAACAATTGAAATGCATTAGGCAAAAGAACTGTTGTCAGAAATGGAAGATTAATTTACAGCTGAAAAGTAATATATATATATACTGTATATATCTTTATCAAACCGGAACTGATTTTTTAAGCGTGACACCTGTCTAATTTGCTGAGAAAAAATGAAGTTATTTCATTTGTGAAGTAGGTGAAAATGATGATATATTGAATGGTGCTTGTTAGTCAGGTCTGATAATGTTTCTTTTATTACTGAGTTCAGTGAAAGTTGAACTATATGGCATTTGGATAATAGGGAATATAGAAAGTGTCTCGGACAAATAATTTATCATCCTATGTAAAGTGATGTACAAAATTTGGGGAGGAAGTCTGTAATTCTAGCCATCCTAAAATCTCAATAAAAAAAATGTCCTTACCTATTTTTCAGATGAATAACGTGCATGTTAATAGAGGCTCCAGTGGAAAATTCCATTATCATCCAGTATGTGTTCTGAAACTGGTTTCTATTGTTGTATATAAAACTCTGGGTCTGTTAGTTGCAGAGTTTAGAGGCTAGGATTTTTTTTAAGGATCTGGACCTCCATGCATCTCTTGATAGACAGTCCTTTATTCAGTGGTGGGTTTCAAAATTTTTTACTACTGGTTCTATGGGTGTGGCTTGGTGGGTGTGGCATGGTTTGGTGGGCGTGGTTTGGTGGGCGTGGCAGGGGAAGGATACTGAAAAATCTCCATTCCCACCCCAATCCAGGGGAAGGTTACTGCAAAATCCCCATTTCTTCCTGATCAGCTGGGACTTGGGAGGCAGAGAATAGATGGGGGCCGGGCCGGTCAGAATTTTTACTACCGATTCTCCAAACTACTCAAAATTTCCGCTATCGGTTCTCTAGAACTGGTCAGAACCTGCTGAAACCCACCTCTGCTTTTATTTCAGAAAACTGTCCTTTAGATGTATTTATTTTTCAAAAACTCACTTTTGTCCTTTATTTTGGTGATTTAACATTTATTGTGTAAACTTAATGCACAGTTTTTCACATTGGTGAAGAAATATTGTTATAGAATTGTCTTTTTAAAAATAAAAGTTTTTTTTTTTTTTTAAAATCTAGATATTTTTATTAGAATATGCATTTTTGTAAAAAAATTCTTGGTTTTAGTTTAGGCCTAGGATCCAAGCAGGAGGATAGATGGAGAAAGTTACTTTTTAAATTATGATTTAAGCATTTAGAAGTCCTTGCCCAAACTACAGCAACATTCTATTGCTACAAGAGAAAATTCTCTTAAAGAAAGGGCTGTAAACTTCTTAACCATGATTCTTTATATTTAACAGGTAAATGTGTTAGCTAATCTAGAACATAGTTTTAATAAAGTGAATGTGATAGTTTTGTATGCACTCAAACATTAAAGCTTAACCCTAACTCTTTACTGAAAAATTGTATATAAAAATGAAAGAAGAAATGCAAAATAAAGTACAGCTTTTTCTTACTAAAAAAACAAGAGAAAAAGACTAGTATTGACCTACCTGTTGCAACAAGAAAGATTAGAATGTCATTTCTGTGGAAGTACTTTATACTTTGCTAGGCTGCCTTTTGGCATTGCATACAATGTCTAGGAAATATGTGAAATATTAAAGGTTTCATATTTTGATGACCCATTTTGGCATTCTGTAGATTGCCTAGGCCTGTGATGGCAGAGGTGGCACATGGAGCCATATTGGTGGGCATGTGAGCTCAGCTCCGGCGCGCACTGATTTTCAGGCCTTGGGCCTACCAGAAGTAGGGAAACAGGCTGTTTCCTGCCTCCAGAGGGCCCAGGGGGTGGGGAAGGCCCATTTTTTGCTCTCCCCAGGCTCCTAGCAAAAAACGGGCCTACCGGTCCCACTGGGCCATTGCCTGCCAAAAGCAGGGGGAGCACAGGGGGGGTCATGCATGCATACGTGGGGTCGGGGCACATATAATTATGGGTGTGGGCACCCGTGTGTATGACCCTCCCCATGCTCTGCCCACTTTTGGCACGCAATGGCAAAAAGATTAGCCATCACTGGCCTAGGCATTTTATAAAATGCCTAATTTCATATATTAATGATAAAATATATAAATAAACATTTAAAGCTGTATCATTCATCTTCATAAAATAAAACCCATTAAAATCTATTAGGAAAAAAACATATATATATTTCTTGTGATTGAATGAGCCAATAATCTTTCTTTCTGCTTTTAAAAGTCTTGATGGTTATTCATTTTAATTAATGTCCCAAAAGCTGGTTGGTTGGTTTTTATTTTTTCTTTATTTTTTCTGGAATTCTTTTACAATTGTAACATATCTCTTCTGTAAGTCGAAGGTAAAAAAAAAAGTCCAAGTCACTCTTCTGAGTTGAAATCCACATATCCAAGTCATTCCTCATTCCTCATTCCTCATTCCTTCAGGGGTGTCAAACTCGTGGTGTCTCATTGGTGTCATGTGACATATTATGACTTTTCCCCCCTTCGTTAAACTAGTGTGGGCGTGGCCAGCATGTGATGCATCCAGCCCGTGGGCCACAAGTTTGATACCCCTGCTCTACCTTAATATCTTTGTGTCCCTTGTAGCTATTAAAATATCACCTGGTTTCATTTGTAAGTCCTGTGTAACATCTTTGTCCATATCATTCCTGTAGTCTGTCATTTTTAAATCCTTATCCAAAACAGTCTGATTCTCAGATATATTGTCATCCACCTTTTCTTCTAAAGACACTTTTATAGTAGTAGACAGTCTTTAAAGAAAGTTCTAAGTACAGTACATTGTTGCCAAATAGTCTTGAATTCTTCCAGAGTTAAAATACTTTTCTCCATTCTGTATCAATATACTATTTTGTCTTTAATTGTAATTTTTAATTCTTTCTGGTTACCTCTGGTGACCAGCCTTCAGGTCTCCTCTTATCATTTTTTTTTCTTCCTAATCCACCACTTTTTCCCATGGAAAGATTTCTTGCAATTAAATTCAAAAGCTTCATATATTTTAATGAAATGTTAAATAACCCACAGGAAGCAGTTTCATAATTAGTTTCAAAGTCTTATTTCTATTTGCAACTTTCCAAACCCAACATTTTTGTCCTCCTTTTGGTTTTTTATATCAAAATAAAATATGTTTCTTTACGTTCTTAAATTTACACGAAACTTCGTTCACTGAGGATTGAAGGAGAATAACGTGGTGTAATGAAACCTGTCTTTCTGAAGGTTCTTAATATCTAAAAAGTAGCTAACAAGCCATTTCCACAATTGATTAAGTGAGCAACTGCGCAAACCCAGTGTCCATTTGATGGAGCCAAACTACAGCTTAGAGAAGATGATTTTCTCATAGATCCCAGAGCTCTGAAACTCACTAGAAACCACTCTTTTTATGATCTTTTTGTGGGGATTTTTGTAAGGAGCACCTGTGAGAAATCTGGTCCACTTCTTGATCCAGACAGTTCAAGGAGCCAAGCCACTTTCCGACTCTTCTCTTCGCTGAAGCTGTCAGCTCCATACACTACAGAGCTATCTTCAGTCTGCCATTGTTTCCCTCGATGTCTGCTAGGATAGTGTTTCTCAACCTTTGCAATTTTAAGAAGTAAAGATTTCAAGTTTGAGAATTACCCAGACAGCATGTTTGGAGTTGGGAATCGATGCATCTTAAAGTTACCAAGGCTGGAAAACCTTTCACTAAGAGAAAACAAACAGAGCTACAAGTTCATATATACTATTGTAGGATTGATTAAAACTGACAAGAAAGAAAGAAAGAAAGAAAGAAAGAAAGAAAGAAAGAAAGAAAGAAAGAAAGAAAGAAAGAAAGAAAGAAAGAAAGAAAAGGAAAAGAAAAGAAATAGAAAAAAAAAGACTTGTTGTTTTCTCCTTTAGGTGCTTATACCATATGGCTGAATATTTTTTTAGAATTGTTGTTAGGTTCCATAACAATAATGTTGAAGCTTAATTGGTCAGCTATGATAAAGATGATTTTCCTGTCTCTATCCTGTTTGTGGGTTTACATGTTTCTGAAAAACAAACATGGAATCAAAGATACTTTTTTTTAAAGGTGGTTTTTATCCGTTTGACACAGAAACAAGGTTTCTGCTCTAAGAGTTACCTTTTTCTTTCTTTCTTTCTGCAGATCCATATTGATTGAAAAGGATTTATCAGCATGTATTGCCAGAAATGGATTTCTTTTGCTTTGGCCCTCGTTCACGTGGGGCCATGTCTTCCCTGCATGCACAATTGTAATACTAAGAACATGGAACAAGGTTTGATGAGATCTCAGAATGTGAAACATAGCCATGTTCGGAGCTTGCTGGTTGCACAGGAAGAAATGATGTCAACACTTCCTTTGAAATCGGGCCAGGTATGGTAACTCTTCTGAAAGGAGATTAGCAAGAGACCAAGGTGTTGATTGGTATCTGGCTGCTTGACTAAGCTTTCCTTTAATCCGGTCTGGTGAGAAAGAATTTTTCTTGAAACTTTCTTGTGTTATACTGTATATGTAGCAATATACAATGATCTATAAAAGACATAGAAGCACAGAAGCATTCACTACTATTTTCCTAAAGGTTCTCATTTAAATGAATCAGGAGAAGTTCTGTATCTGCTTTTATTTAGGCATAGGAATCTGGTGGAGTGGGACATCAGGCAGCAAAAAAAATTAGATTATCTAATGCAGAGGTCTTCAAACTTGGCAGCTTTAAGACTTGTGGACTTTAACTCCCAGAATTCTCCAGCCAGCTATGCTGCCAAGTTTGAAGACCTCTGATCTAATGTGACACTGACAGTATCACATTGAGTGTCACTCAATGTGATACTGTCAGTGATATCACCTGACTAGCAAGAGAACAACTCCTGTATGACTGAATATCTATAAGGTAGTAATAGTTTTACTATTTATATTTTGATTTTTTTTAAAAAAATAAATAAAATAAAAGGTGCTATCCTTCTGTAGAGATTCACCAACCAGTTACTGGCATTTTCTCATTGCTGCCAGTCCCTTGTGGTTATTTGGACTTCTCTTGAATTATAGAGCCCCAGCAATTTGGGGAATGTGAGCTCCAATACCACTAGTAGGTATCTTGGAAAACCTACTTCAAGTGTTAGTATTCCTGGTCGGTAAGACAAATTTGTGGAACTGACCAACCCTTTTTGTTTTCCAAAAATAATTTTAAAAAGTTGATTCATTATCAACATCTGGCCATTGATTTTGACCCTTGTTACCCTTGTTATTCAGTTTTGGTTCTTCATTGGAGTAGACACATAGCACAAGGAATGAGTTACCAGTATTTTAGCTGGATATTTTATTATGTTAAGTAATGGCTAATTTACTCATCATTAATTTTTAATGAAGCAGATTAATACTAAATCCTTTTACCAGTACGACAGCTCTAGGGCCCTGCATGGTTCATTACTTTAATGTGGCTTTGCCACAAGGAGCAATTATTTTTTATCCTTCTTAAAATATAGACACTGGTTGCACATTTACTAATTTTTACTCCAAATTTTTCCTCCTCTTCTCCTCTTTTGCTCCTCTCATCTTTTGTGTCCTTCTCCTCTACTGCTGGAAAAAGCAAGACCAAACATGTAAACAAAAACACACCTAAATCCACTTTTTGATACTTAGATCTTGCAACCTTTTCTGTAAGGCAACTTTCAAGTTGAATGAATGGCAAAAAGTTTAACCACTAATTAACTGGCGCTAAAATTTAATTGGGCCCAAAGGGTGAAGTACTCAAAATCCATTAATTACTTTTCACAGCTTTTTCAAAGCAACCATGGTGGAAGAATGATGACTTATTTCAGAAAGGGCAAAGAGAGACATACATTAAAATGCATGTATCCATAAACGTGGTATCCTTTTAGAATGTACTCATACTAGCCAACGGTTTGCTTTTTAAAAAAATCAACAAAAGAGTAAGGAAATTCAAATATGGATTTTTAATCTGAATGCCAAAAAAAAAGTGACTTCAGAACATTTGACCCACATAAAGGATAGTGTACATAGAAAATGAAGAGTGGCTTTTTCAGTGAATTTCTACAGTGCATTTATAACAATTCTTGATAATAGACTAATCCTAACATATCAAACCGATGTTCTATTTATTCTGACAACCTGGTTGGGAGGGGAGGGGAGACTTAGCTCAGTATGCAATGTGATTATTATTCACTATGGCACTTGTATGCCTACTAAGAAAAGACAAGTTCCATACTTGGAATGATTAGAAATGAACTCAAAAATAAAAGTATTCCAAATATACAACTCTAATAAGACTGCATATTGAATGCTGTATACATTTCTGGTCATACACTTCAGAAAGCATATGATAGAACTGGAAGAGATTTTTTTTTTTCTTTAAAGCAACAAAAATATTAGGAAATAGAACAACTCCGTTATAGAAAAGATTACAGCTTTGGGTGCTTCTTAACTTAGAGTCAAGCAAAATAATGGAGACAAGGTGAAGATATATAAAATCAAGGCTTCTACAGAATATGCAAATCTAGAGTTTTTCTACAGTTACAACTTTCACACGATGAAACAAAATGTAAGAAAGGATCATGTGAAATGTTAATACCATTTAATAATGCCTTGGTAAGGCCACACTTGGAATACTGCATTCAGTTTTGGTCACCATGATGTAAAAAAGAGGTTGAGACTCTAGAAAGAGTGCAGAGAAGAGCAACAAAGGTGATTAGGGGACTGGAGGCTAAAACATATGAATAACAGTTGCAGGAACTGTGTATGTCTAGTTTAATGAAAAGAAGGACTAGGGGAGACATGATAGCAGTGTTCCAATATCTCAGGGGTTGCCACAAAGAAGAGGGAGTCAAACTATTCTTCAAAGCACCTGCAGGTAGAACAAGAAGCAATAGGTGAAAACTAATCAAGGAGAGGAGCAACTTAGAACTAAGGAGAAATGTCCTGACAGTTAGAACAATTAATCAGTGGAACAACTTACCTGCAGAAGTCATGAATGCTCCAACACTGGAAGTTTTTAAGAAGATGTTGGATAACCATTTGTCTGAAGTGGTGTCGGGTTTCCTGCCTAAGCAAGGGTTTGGACTAGAAGACCTCCAAGGTCCCTTCCAATTCTGTTATTCTATTCTAAAATACAATATTACACAAAACAAAGTTAAACTGTGGGGTATGTTGCCATCATATGTGGTATTAGCCACCAATCTGGAATGTTTAAAAGGGAGCTAAATAAATTCATAGAGGGTAACTCCAGGTGTGGTTGACTGTATAATACCTCCTTGAATCACTGGTAATAAATTTTAAACACCCAAGGTAGAGGAGACCTATTAAACAGATCTTTGGTTTGGTCCAGGAACGTTCTTTGCTCTTCTGCTTCAAAAATCCAGAAGTAGGATCAAGAGCTGGACATATGTGCAGAGGCCATATATGGAAAATTAAAATTAAATTATAGGGACATGCTTGGAGATATTTAGTTCTTTCAATCCAGAATTTCTGAGATTTGTTGGAAATAGATCAGAAGCAATGTGAGAGTAGAACATGTATCATTTTGCAATGTCCAGGCATTGGGACAGAAGTAAAACAGCTTCACTTGGCTAGACAGTGACATAGATGTATAACTGGATATCATCAATGATATATAGTGTCACCCATTGGCTTCAGGGAAATATTGAAAAAGAAGGGAGAGACAGTAAAACCCTGGATCGTCTTGTTTGTTGTTGTTTGACCTATCATCTCTTGGACTTAGCATTTTTTAATATTTGTCAGCCCAAATGTCATATTCTACAACTGTTTGTTTTTAAGAATTTCTTTCCTGAATCAGAAACAAACAAACAAACAAGTTTGGGCAGACAACCAATGCATCAGTTCACCTGCTTTTTGCGTGTTAATATTTCTGTTAATATGAATCTCAACCTAAAAAGTATTGCTGACCGTGTCCGTCTTTCTCTCTTCTTTTACTTCATTTTGAAAACAATGAGCTTTACTTGAATGATATTTGCAGATCAGCTTAATACTCTTTTTTTTCCAGCTGAAGTCTGACTTAGACAAGCAAGATAATTCTCTGAATGGTCCACAATTCTTGAATGGGCCTTATGAAGCTACAGTTCCTGAAATGTCTCCAGAAGGTATGGCATTTTGTACTTAGCTCTTTTATTGATGCTGTTTGGGTACTGATAAAATAACTATTGCAGTTGCTACAGGAATGTGTTTTTTTCTCCCAAGTACCAAGACTTCACAAGGATTCTTTACTTTAAAGATCCTGTACATTCCATTATGTCCTGAGGTTGGATTTTCTGGACACACCATTTTTGGACTTCTACTTTCTGGAGATTTCTGCTTCTTTAAAATAAGCATTCAAGAATATGCTTTGCTGATTTGGTCCAATAAGAATCAGTGAGTGAGTGGCCTTCTAGGATCTCCTCCCCCAACAACCCCCCTCCCCAAATCAAACCCTTTAACTTAAATTCCCAGGGCTTGCATCCAGAAAACCCTATATTTTCTGATACCCTCGGCCTGAAAAAGTTACAGTTTTAGAGACTTGTACTCTTTAGAGACTTGTAATCTGGTTTACTTAGCTGAACAAGTATTGATAAGAATATAGAGTTAAAAAACCTAGTCTATTTCATCTAGCTTGAGGAGTCTTACTAAAAATGACACCTAGCAGTAATTTGGATGAGTGTTGCAGTTGTTGTTGTTGTTGTTGTTGTTGTTGTTGTTGTTGTTGTTGTTGCCTTTCCAATTTGCACTAGATTCAATTTATAGCTCCATCTTTCTGACCGTGTCTTCTCTCTGTTTAATTTTTGCTTCTTAGAATTGGCATGGTATTTGGGTACTGTAGATATATCTGGGCAGTTTTATGAGGCCTTGGTCCAGTATAGATCACTCAGTTTCTGACAATTTTCAAAATAATTGATGCTGTAATGAAGAGGAAGGAGAATGAAAAGCAGCATCTTATACCTAAAGTGCATTCAAATTCATTTCAGTTCTTTTTCAGATGCTGTTACACCTACAACACATATAATCTATTTAGTTCCAGGAGATGTTAATTTATTTCTTGCTCAGATTTCTATGCCAAGAAACAATTACAATAGTTTTTTTTCTGAAATTAATTAAATTAATTGGGGGGGGGGAATCAAGGTAATAACAGAAAGCAAGCCATACCAGATAACTAACAAAAGCACAATAGAATATGAGCATTTAACTACCTTCTGAAAGCTCTGCATGGAAATTGTTAATCTAGCCTCAGAGGTAAAGCTGCTTCTTGACGAAAAGCCCATGATATAAAAGATTTAAAATATAGAATAGAACAAATTTATTAGCCAAGTGTTGTTAGACACACAAGGAATTTATCTCCAGTGCAAAAGATACTAATGTACAATATGGTTCGGAGATATTGTAAATATCTCCATATCTATATCCCATAATCTTATCCAGGAGAGGAACCAGAAGCATCTCTTCTCAAAAAGAACAAAAGGACAGGAAGATTTTCTTTGGAAGAAACAGTCTCAAAGGTAGTTCAAGGACAAGGCATGTGATCTCCAGCATTTTTAACTAAGTACCAATTGGCAACCACAAGTAGCAAAGGTGTTACTCTGCTATTGTTTTGGCACTGTAGTTTCTGAATGGTCTTCAAAGGTAGCCCTAAAAGACTGTGTTGTAGTAGTCTAACCTAGAGGTAAAACCATAGATCACCATCACAAGGATCTCTGGTTACAAAAAGGGCTACAATTGGCATATCAGTCAAAGATGGGTGCTAAATCCGAACAAACTCAGCATGAGGCGACTATATGAACCAACGGAACTGTTTATTACTTCAGAATACACAACGGGGAATGGAACACCTCAGCCGGTGTTTGACAGCTCTTATATAGGGAGAGCCCGGCTGCGCTAACCAATCAGAGGAGGGGAATCTCCCACGTGTATGACTTAATGCGGAAGAGGCAACAGTAACAACAACAACAACTCATTAACCCTTGCCAGACAGAACACCCTCCCCCCTTGGATCGCACAAGCGTAATCATTTAGGTACTCCGGGCGCCTTCGCTCTCGCTTGGATTGCCTTAATACGGGACTGGCCACTGGCAGGCTTGGTTCAGGTATTGGTGGAGGAGTGGCTGGCTCAACAGGTGGAGTGTGTTCTGGAATGGACCCCCGGGCATCTATGTCAGGTAAGTCGGGAGACTGCTGCATTTCTTCAGGGCGTCACTGTAATCTCTCAGTCGTATGTGGGCTTGGAGTTGGATGAAATACGGGGGTTGGTTGCCCACCAGATGACGGTCTGTCCACCCCCGCTGGAACCAGAACTAACTAGTGTCTCCGTAACTGGTCCACATGGCGCCGCCACATTCTGCCATCAACGAGCAGGACCCTGTAAGAGCAGGGGCCCGTTACTTGTAAAATCTGTCCTGGTAACCACCGAGGGTCGCCCCCATAGTTTCGAGCAAAAACCAGGTCCCCCTCAGTAAACACCCTGGGTGGCAAGCAGCCTGTCATGGGCCGTTCCGGTGCGTACGAGGGGTGCAGACGGTCTAACATGGTGTGTAATCGGCGGCCCATCAGCATCTCGGCTGGGCTTCAGTTAGTACTCATGCAAGGCGACGTATGTTGAGACAGTAAGTAGGTAGACACCCTTTCCTGCCAACCCCTTGGCCCAAGCCTGGCCAGCGCCTCTTTAGCTGACCTCACGGCCCTTTCCGCTAAACCATTACTGGATGGACAATAAGGGGCTACCTGGGCATGGCGGATACCTAGGCTGGCCAAGAATGCCTGGAATGGGGCGGACGTCAGTTGTGGGGCATTATCGGACACCAAGGCGTCCGGAAGGCCATGTGTAGCAAACAACTTATTCAATACCCATATAACGGCCTCCGAGTTAGTGGATGGCATTATTTCCACCTCGACTCATCGCGAATAGGCATCCACCACAATAAGAAATTGGCGACCCATAAAAGGACCCGCAAAATCTAAATGAACTCGTGACCATGGAGTCTTCGGAAATTCCCACTCCCGGGGGGGGGGCAGATGGTGCCACTGGCCTTGAGAGTTGGCACGTATGGCATTTACCAACCCACTTGATTATATCTTGATCAATTCCAGGCCACCACACATAATTCTACCCAGTCCTTTCATCCTAACAATCCCTGGATGGGCTTTGTGTAGACATTCTAATATAGATGTACGTAAGCTGGGGGGAATGACCACTCTATGCCCCCACAAGAGACAAGCCCGGTGGACAGACAGTTCATGTTGCCAGATCCTGAACGGCTTGAACTGTTCGGGCACACATCCCAATGGCCACCCCCTACCCACCCAGTCAAGCACCTGAGCCAGGACTGGGTCATCAGCTGAGTGGGCCGCAACGTCAGTTGCGGTCAAGGGAAGTGGCATGTCCTCCACAAGGAGTACCGAGGATGCTGGCGCAGGGTCCACGACGGACAATGGTAGGGGACAACGACTTAGTGCATCAGCGTGCGCTATTTGCTTACCCGGCCTGTAGACCAGGGTATAGTTATAAGCTGCTAAAAATCCAGTCCAACATGACATTCTAGGGGAGAGTATCAAAGGTGTTTGGTGGTCCCCTGCTAAAAGTCCTAGAAGGGGTTTATGGTCGGTAACCAGTTCGAAATGGCGGCCATAAATATAATCATGGAATTTCTTGACAGAGGCCACAGTGGCCAGTGCCTCTCTGTCCAATTGGCTATACCTACGTTCCACAGAAGAAAGAGTGCATGAATAGTACGCAATAGGTGCTTCCAAACTGTTTGGAAAACGATGACTAAGGACAGCACCAATGCCAAAAGGGGATGCATCAGCCATTAGAACTAATGGCAAGTGGGAGCTGTACTGTACCAGGACAGCAGAGGATGTTAATAAATCCTGGACAGCTCGGAAAGAGCGGGATTCCGCCTCCCCCCAAGACCAGGGTATGTTTTTTCCTAGAAGGCGGTGAAGGGGTTCAGCAACAGTAGCCTTATGGGGTAAAAATACACTATAAAAATTGAGGAGCCCCAGAAAAGCTTGTAGGTCAGCCTTGCACATGGGAATGGCAGCGTGTTTTATAGCTGCCACCTTGGAAGGAATGGGGTGAATACCCATGGCATCAATTAAGTACCCTAAAAATTCAACCTGTGGCACTCCAATTTGACATTTAGGTTTTTTCAACTTGAGGCCAGCCTTCATAAACCAAATTAGGACAGCCCTAACATGGCTGACGAGCTCACTCCGCGAAGAAGCGGAAATGAGCATGTCATCAAAATAGGGCACAACCCCAGGGAGTCTATGCAGGAGCCGTTCCATTAAGTTTTGGAACAACCCCGGGGCAAAACTGATACCGAATTGCAAGCACTTGCATCTAAACGCCCCCCGGTGGGTTACAATTGTCTGAGCCTCGGCCGAGGCATCATCCACCGGGAGCTGCTGATAAGCTTGGGCTAAATCTAATTTAGCGAAAATGGAGCCAGCACCCAGGGAGTGGAGCAGGTGTTGAACCACTGGAACCAGATAGGGGTTGGCTTGTAACGCCCTATTTAAGGTACTCTTAAAGTCAGCACAGATTCGGACCGAGCCGTCTGGCTTGATAGGAATGACAATTGGTGTTTCCCACCTGGAATGGTCAGTGGGTTCTAATACTCCCTGGGTGATAAGCTTATCCAGCTCTGCCTCAACTTTAGGACGGAGTGCTAGAGGAACTCTCCAGGGTTTGAGCCTAATGGGGGCAACGTTGGGGGTCTAAATTTAGTGAAATTAGGGAGCCCACATATTTACCCAGGGTATTGTCGAAAACATCTCCGAATTCACGGGTTAACACATCAAACTCGCTTTCAGACGTTGTAGAATGAATACCTGAAATAGCAAGCCCCAGGGAACTAAACCAGTCTAAACCTAACAAACTGGGGAGAGAACCGTCTACCACAATTAAAGGGAGGCGACCAGTAAAATTATCTTTTTCCACTAGGAAATGACCCTGCCTGATAATTGGAATCCTATTGCCTTGATAGTCTCGAAGTTTAACTGGGCAGGGGCGTATCAGGTTCTTCTGCAGACTAGACAACATTTCTTTGAGGGTGGTCCAAGAAACGATAGATTTAGATGAGCCGGTGTTGACTTCCATCCAACACGGAACGCC